TAAAACCCTATTGCTGAAGACACGACATAGCTTGGTTGTGGGAGATCAAGCTGGAACTTAGCTAGAGCTCTCCTCCTTGTCAACTAATTTTCATAATGCCAGAAGGTTCTATGCAGGCTGCTGGTGGAGAAATGGTATCAGTGATCTTACCCAACTGTGAACCCTGTGAACTATGACATCAACCTGTAGGCAAGGTAGCCCACCATCTTAATAGTGGCATGACTGTGATAGGGTTAAGCAACCACTCTCTGGCTGGATTTGAGGCCTACTCCACAGAAGGAAATCCATACTTTTAAGTGGTATTATAAACCCACTTAAAAGACCATGGCCAGGGAAGTCATAGGACTGAGGGGATAATTTAATTCTGTTGTTTCACTAAATTAATTTAGCATCAAACCACCTTCTACATATATATGTTTAAAACCATAGACAGCTATCACTTTCAGCCTTAATTAGACTTAATTAGCAGAGACTTGTGGCTGTACAAGGTGCTAAGAATAAGTGACGATTGAGTGCTGATCCCTAAACAAGACCTTTACACCATCCTCTCCAAGGCTCAGGAACATTGCAGAAGAGGGGGCAGAAAGATTGTAAGAACTGAAAGACAGATAGAAGGACTGTGAAATGCCATCTTCTGGAAATACACAGCCATTGCCCTCACAAACCCATAGCAGTTGTGGATGCCTACAGTGGGTCTGCACAGCAACAGGCCCATCAACAGTTGAGCAAGGCTGGAGGGAGAACTTGGGGCCTACTCCCCTACCCTAGTGAACTATTTCCTATGGATAGATTCAAGGAAAGAAGTCATCTCCTTCAGTTGTGTACCTACTGGTGACTCCAAGGAGCTCCAACACTAGTCCTAATCCAGTGGTCACACAGATGGCCCTGGTTAAACTAAAATGGCCACAACAAATCAAAACTCATGAATCTGAGAAATGGACAGGTAGGGAGGCAGGGATGCTGATAAGAGGGATAAGAGAAGGTGGGGAGAGAGTAACCAGAATGCACTATATATGTATGAAATTGTCAAAGAACAAACACTAAAAAGAAGAGTTGTGGTGTAATTAATACAAGAGTGGAGAAGAACGTTATAAAGAGTAAGAGAAGAAAGAAGAAGCTAAAACCGAAGAAGAAAGTACAGTCAATGATGAAAGATGTATAAACAAAAACAGACGTACGGGAAGAACTAAGTGCAGCATAAAATCTGTGTGTGTGTGTGTGTGTGTGTGTGTACGTCTGGTGTATGTGCATGTGTATTTGTGTGTACATGTGGAGGCAGAGGTTTCTGGGTGTTTTTTTTTTTTTCTATCACTGTCCTTATTTTTTGAGACAAGATTTCTCACTGCACTTGGAACTCACTGTTTAGTCTAGACTGGTTGGCTAGAAAGCCCCCAGGATCTGCCTGTCTCTGTTCATTTTCCCCTCACAGGGGTTACAGCTGTGCACTGTCATGTCCAACTACTTTTCACAGGGGTGCTACAGATCCAAACTCAGATCCTCATGCTTGCACCATAAGCACTTTATCCACTAAACCATCTCCTTAAACCCCCTCCCCCTTTTTTGGGTCTTTTTGGGACAGGGTCTCCCTGTAGCCCCAGCTGTCTTGGAACTCACTATGTAGACCAGGCTGGCCTTGAACTCACAGAGATCTGCCTGCCTCTGCCTCCCGAGTGCTGGGATTAAAAGCGTGCACCAACCACGCCCGGCCTTAAAAGCTTTTTTAAAATCAGAGAAAATAAAATACTAGTAAAAGTATTAGAAAAAAGAGGAAACAAGGGGTAAGAAAAAGAAAGATGAAGTGTTGGAATGACTTTTTTTGAGGCTTCTGAAATTAATATCTACTTGGTGGATCTGGGAGGGAGGGTGGCTTGTAGACTTTTGTGTTTCTTACAGTTTCTGCTGTTGATGAGGCATTATTGACGTGTCAGATGTCCACCAGAGCTGTCTTCATGTCAGTAGCTTACCCGCTTTGTGCGCCAGGGGCCTCTGTGGCATACTTCCCTTTGCAGTCTGTTGGCTGAGCAGGTTCTCCCATCCTCATGAGATCTCTTAGTGTACACATTCTGGGATGGCTAGCATTCTAGCTGCCCGGGAGTGTCTCCCAAGGGTGTTGAAGTGGAGGAAGCAACCACAGCACTGAAATGTGTACAGGAGGATCTGTATGGACTTTCGAGACCCACTGAGCATTAAAGCATCCTCCTGGAAGGCTGAGATTGTAGACATCAATTTGTCTGCTGGGGATTCAGAGTTCTCAGTCTCTGTAGCATGAAGCTTGTGGCAGATAAGTGGCTCCAGAGGCTGGTTTACCTGTTCACTATTACACATTCAAGGCTATTCTCAAGTGATGAGGTCAGCTTTCAAGGGTGGGTCTATCTACCTTCCTCTGTAAGCTTCACTGCCTGGGCTGAGCTTTCTGTCACCTTCACATTTTGTCTTGTAAGCTACTGCCCCTCCCACTCTCTAACTGCTTCCAGTGGCTGTTGCTCATCCTGAGGCTGTGACAGGTTGACTTCTGGCTCCCTGACTTGCGATTCTTCCTTCTGCTCAGGCTCCCAGATTAACTTGGTTTTAAACAATTGGTTCCACCTCGTGGTGGAGCCAGTCACAGCCCTTCACTGTTGACCCCTCCCACCACAGGATGCTGGATCTTAGTGGGATTGGAGGCTTGTGGAAACTGTTGGCTTGTCTTGTGGATGGGACTGCTGGTTACTTTTCGCCAGGCTACCTGATCTGTCTTTCAGATGATGCTTCTGTCCCCATCCGAGGGTGTCAGTGGCTGGAGCTCTGTGCTGCTTCCTTTTGCTGAGTTGCCCTTCTGGAGGGTCCTCATCCTTGAAGAAAACTGACTCTCTCCCAGCAACCGTCAATTGCCAATTTCTTCTCAGCTAGAGGTGGGACTTCATGAGCCCCTCCCTCATCCATGTTGGGATTTTAGCTGCTTGATCTTGTGCAGGTCTTGTGTGTGCAGTCACAGATCCTGTGAGTTCACATATGCAATGCTGCTGTCATGTCTGGAAAACACTGTTTTGCTGCAGATATCTGCTCCCTCCAGCATTTGCAATCTTTCTGCCTCCTCTCCTGCAATGATCTCTGACCCATTTAGAGCTGTCCTTTGCATGCTGACCAGCTGTGGGTCCTGTTTTAATCACCATATACTACTAAAATGGAATAGTGTGTTCTTGATTATCCTGACTCTTCTCATTCTCAATGTGATCATTTTCAAATTAAAGTTTAGTAATACTTAAGAGGAACTGGAGAGATGGCTCAGTGGTTAAAAACACTTGCTGTTCTTGCAGAAGACCCAGGTTTGGTTCCCAGCACCCACATGGTGACTCACAACCATTTGTAACTCCAATTCCAGGGAATCTGATGCCCTCTCTGCCCTCTGAGGGCCTTGCATGCATGTGATGCACAGTCATACAGGCAGGCAAAACACTCAGACACAAATAACAAAATAAATATTAAAAATAAAGTTTATTATTACTTTAAAATGGCAGCATACAGAACTATTCCAAGGATGAAAAAAACACAATTTAAAATTCAGATTTCCTAGTAAGGTAGGTTTCTCAGTAAGCATCTCATGGAATCACATGTGAACACTGCCCATTTATGGACTTATTTTGCATTGAAAATGAGTTATATCTTGAGAAAGGATTCAAAGGACTTACAGGAAGTCCACTGTATATACAAGCTCATTAGTATGCTTTTGTAAAAATTACTCTTTTTTGTTCTTTTCTCTAAATGTTATAGTATGTCCACAGATGAACTTGTTTACATGTATACATGTGTACATTATAGGCTAGAATCTGCATATGAGGGAGAACATGCAGGGTTTCTTTCTGAGATTGGTGACCTTGCTTAATATTATACAGCCTGCCGGGTGTGGTGGCGCACGCCTTTAATCCCAGCACTGGCAGATCTCTGTGAGCTCAAGACCAGCCTGGTCTACATAGTGAGTTCCAGGACAGCTGGGGCTACAGGGAGACCCTGTCTCAAAAAGA